TTTTTTTTTTTTTTTTAGTATTCTGTTTGAGGAAAAATTGGCATATTTGAGATATAATGTCAGTTAATACTGACCCTAGAGTTGGTTCAGTATTTCTCCCTCCAGTTTATTCCATGCTGCAGCCACATCAGTCATGCCAGAGGCTGTATTTGTTACAGTGGTTTGGACTTAGACTGAGGTTTCTGTTGCAAAATTAGTGGCAGTGGTCCCAAATGTGGAAAGCAGATATTTCTCTCTGGGCATGTCTTGCAGCGTTATCTAGCAAGAGAACGTATTCTGTGAAAAGGATGCTTGAGAAATGTCATGTACGTACTTGCTAATGATAAAAGCAGAAAGGCAAACTTACACCTCCTTGTTCTTAGAAGAATTTAGCTTCTTATTAATTGTGAAGATAACACATCTGCAAAGAACACCCTGTTTCTTTAAGAAAGGCATTTCCTTCTCTAGTGTCGCGGCTCTTCATGAGACAAGGATATGTTTTTCTTGGCGACAGCTGACGACAACATTATTTTGTGGCTCCTAGAGATTCATCCTACTGATGTCAAAGATGACTTTGTTTTAATTATCAAAAGGCATGTCTTTGTCAGTTTGGGTGCTATGACAAAACTGTAAACTAAGTGGCTTAAACAACAGACATTCATTTCTTACAGCTCTGGAGGCTGGAAGCTCAAGATCAGAGTACAGCTTACAGACGGCCACCTTCTGGCTGCGCCCTCACGTGGTGGTGGAGAGAGAGAGCATCTCTTGTGTCTCTTCTTAGAAGGGCGCTAATCCCATAATCAGGGCTCCAGTCTCATGACCTCATCACCTCCCACTGGCCCCACCTCCAAATACCATCACATTGGGGATTAGGTTTCAACATGAATTTTTTGGGGGAACACAAATATTCAGTCCATAGCAAGGCAAGTGCCAAACAGCTTTTTTTGTTTTTGTTTTTCCTGTTTACAATGCTGTATGGAAGCTCTGCTGTACATCTAAGATCCCACAGTTATATTACAAAGCACCATTCAGGTGAGTATTTGAATAGCTGTTATTGTATTCCTTCTGATCTGGTGTTAAAATGCCTTCAAATAGATTTAAGGAATTACTCATTAAGAAGATAGTGTTCAAATATAATTGTCAATTGATTAAGTCATACTAGATAGCAGATTCTAACTCATGGAAGAAGAAACTTCTTGAAGAGAAAAAGTTTAATTAAAGTCATATATTTTCATGTTAATACTGTTTTATAATTATGCTTTTAATTTCATAATTTTTATAATTAAAGGAGTTTTAATAAAATCCATATTGATGTATAAGTTTGAATAATCAGAGATAGTGGAATGGAAAAAAAAATGAAAGCCAGGGAAAGAGGACATTATTTAGAAAGGAAACTAAGATCTTAAGATCTGTCACTGTGGTTTGCCAGAATTTGGGATGTGGTTTGCCAGAATTCGGGATGTGGTTGGGGAGATGCAGAAGAGGAGGGAGAGAACACCTAGAAGGACCCTGGAGGAGGGAGGGAAGAATAAGAATACTGCAGACTGGCTTTGTTTAATTTGTTTGTTTGGAGTAAGTGTCTTGGGCATATTCTTGACCAAATGGAGATAATTCCTTTAGGTGTTTTTTGTTTATTTGTTTCATTTTGTTTAGCCTTCATCAAGGATGATTAACTATATCAGGTAAACAGGAGTTAACTGTAAAAAATGGAAATTATTTACCCAAATTGGTCATTGTCTGGTGGGTCTTGGATATACCAGTGGAATGAGTGGAGAATCTAGTCTTGATTCTGAGGAGGATGTTTAAAATTCTTCTCTGCAGCTTTTCCCAGAAGACAAAGCATTTACAGATTGTTCAAGAAATAAGCTTATCATTTCCTCCTAATGTAAAGGCTGATGAACAAGTAATAGAAAACAAACAATAAGATGAAATTTGTTTTATTCTTGAGTTTGGGCAAGGTTTCCTAACCTACAGAAACGAGGTGGGTGAATTACTGATTTAGCATGTTCCTTTCAGCAGTACAGTTTTTTACATATCGTGCTCCCAAGCCAACTCTTAACCAATGAGCCACTAGGCCGGGCCTAATGGTTTTATTTTTAAAAAATAACTTACTGAGGTGAAATTCACATAACAGAGAATTAACTATTTTAAGTGAAATATTCAGTGACATTTAGGACGTCCACAACGTTGCGTAGCCACCACCTATATCTAACTCCAAAACATGTCTGTCACCCCAAAGTGAAATCCCTTACCTGTTAAGCCATGTCTCCCCACTCCCCTCCTTCAGCTCCTGGCAATCTTATTTTGTCTCTGGATTTATCCATTCTGAATATCTCATATAATTGGAATTATACAATATATACATTTTTGTGACTGACTTCTTTCACTTAGCATAACGTTTTGAAGGTTCATCTGCATTGTACCATGTATCAGTCCTTCATTCCTTTTTATGGCTCATTAATGTTCCATTGTATGTACATAGACAACTTGTTTATCCATTCATCCAGTGATTGAGGTTTGGGCTATTTTCACCTTTGGGCTATTGTGAATAGTGCCGCTATGAACATGCGTGTATATATATATATATATATATATATATGAGTAGAATTGTAAGGTCATTGGTAATTCTATGTTAACATTTTGAGGGACCACCAAACTCTTCCACAGCATTTGAACCATTTTATATTCCCACCAGCAATGTAGTAACGTACAAGGGTCCCAATTTCTCCACATCCTTGCCAACACTAATTTTTAAAAACAATTTATAGCCATCCTAGGAGGTGCAAAGTAGTATCTCATTATGGTTTAGACAGCAATACATTATGAAGTTAATTTTTTAAAGTTAAACTTTAATAATAAAATCAGAGTTGATGAAGATGCCTGAGGCTTCTAGAACCCACTCTCATCACACTCTTATTGTCATGGGATACCAGTTCCAGGCCTTTATCGAGTTCACTAGAACCATGTTTATTTTATTTTATTTTTATTTTTTTATTTTGGGGCATATCAAAATTTATTACTACTGTGTTTTCACCATCAAAACTCATGATCTCAGTCTTTCCTGCTTGCCTTTGTATAAGGCCAAAAGAGAGACATTGGCTGCTTTGACAATATTAATGTGGACTCCAGGAATGTCACCAACAGCATGACATTTGCGACCAAATCCAGCAACCAGAACTTCATCATTTTCCTCAATAAAATTCAAACAGCCATCACTGGGTACAAAGATTGTGATATTTTTTTTGCCATTTTTTTTTTCAATTGGGGAACAGCCACGGTCATTGGTTACACATTGCTTTCATGCTACAATGGCATAGTTGATTCTTTTAGGGAGGGTGCAGCTCATAGTGGGCCATGTGGGGATCAAACCAGCAATCTTGGTGTTCTCAGCACCCTGCTTTAACCAACTGAGCTAACCAGTCATCCCTTTTTTGCCATTCTTGATCAGCTGGACTCTGACACACTTCCTGATGGCAGAATTTGGCTGTTGGGCTTCAACCCCCACTTTTCCAGCACAATTCCCTTTGCACGGGAAGCGTCTCCAAAAGGGTTGGTCTGCAGGGCTGTGCCCGAATGGGCTTTCTTGTAATGCTTATCCTGCCACTTCTGATCTTGTCGGCGACTCCGGAGCTTCCTGGCGGTACAAAGACTGTGACGCTTGCCCATCCTGCCGGCAGCGTGGGCCCAAGCGAAAGAGAGCTAGATCCGTGTTTAAAAGGAAAATTGTATTTTATCAAGGATGGTCAACTCTTTTGACTGGGTAGAATTAGAAATACAAAAGAGAGAACCACCAACAAGAACCACCAGTAAACAGCACTCTAAAATACTGTTGCTTTCCATTGAGCGCAGTGCTTTATGCATTCGTGAGGGAGAAAACTGACTAAAATGGAACATAGATCTGAAATCACAAGCGTTTTCTCTTCCTAAGAACGGGCTAGTCATAAATTTGTAGGCTAGGTTTCATCTGCTTAACATACATTTGCCTGAGTAGATGATGCCATTTTGTAAAGGAAGACTGAAGTCAAATGATTTTAGGCCATTTCTTAAGGAGTTTCAGGTTATAGCATAAGCAGGAAGGTCTAAACAGAGGAAGAAATAATTGATCCAATGAAAGTACAGAGGAATAAGCTTAAAAACTAAACGTGGAGGGGAAAAAATAGAAAGCACGATCTAAGAAGGTTATGAAAACATCTTTAGATTTGGTGTGTCTACGGTATCACATATTTTTCTCCAAGGATAAGAAATCTGCTTAAGGACACCTGAGCTTTAAGTCTGAAAAACTATCATTAACTACACTGTGTAGGAGCCTGTTTTATCATCAGTTTTTTTTTAAAGATAACATGTTTACAAACCCAATCAGGCAAATTGTAATCATTTATATTCCTTTCAGTCTCTAAGGGGTATGAAGTTATACTACAGAAAGAATATTCTGGAATAGCTGTAATCAGAAACAAATTAGAAAGAGGTGGTAGCATTGAGTGTTCATTTCCTAGATATATTTCTGAAAGTGAGATGAAGAACTTAACCTGCAAGAGGAAATGCTTGGAATGACAGAGGTACTACATTTCTCACTCAAAATTGTCTTGATTGCTTGTAATTGGTGTCTGATTTCAAGACAGACATTTCACAGAGAAAATGGTATGAACTCTACTTTGGGAAATTGTAGTCGTCACAGTCACACTTTTAAAGTCTGTGTGTTTGTTTTCTACTTGAAATCCAAAATAGCTATCAATACATTGTTCTATCATATTAACTGACCTTGTTCATTTTTGTTTTTAGTCTGTTTTTTTCTTCTTACAAAGGCAATGAGACTTAGATGCTTCAGAATACAATAATCAACATACTTGTCTGATTTTCAGTCACACTCAAAAGTTTACATTTAGTTATTATCTGCAGACACTGAATTGAATAAGTTTAATAATTATATATATATATATATATATATATATATATATATCCCCTGCCCCACAGCAATATGTTTCTCACAATCTTACCTGGGCACCAAAACAATTTATAAGCCATTGTTAAGGTACTCTAATATGCTAACTGAACAAGATGATTTTAGAAAAGAAATATATAAATACATGTTCTGAAGTGTTTCAATTACAGAAATATAAAATGAAGTTATATACTATTTAAAAGAAAAAAAAATAAAGTCTACGTGTGCTCAAATTCTTTAAGGTTCTCTTTTCAATTCCACATCTGCAGCACACTACCATTTCTGGGCCTCTGCCTGGAGCATGTTCCATGTACCCCAACCTCAACCCATGGCTTTCCCCCTTTTCCTAGTTAACTCTTATTCTTTAAGGCTCTGCTTAAAGCACTTGCTCCTTAGTGAGGCCTCCCCTGAGCCCCTGGTTATATAGGAGCTGGCATTCCATCTATTTCCACTTCCGTAATCCTCACAATATACCATAGCTACTGTTTGATGTCCATCTTCCTCACTAGACTGTAAATTCCACCCAGGCAGAACCTTTCCTTGTTCTCTTTATGTCATTCACACCTATCCCTGTCATAGTTCAAGGTCTATGTGATGTGGATCAGTGTTATTAGAAACCCATGTCGTCTTCCGGGGTTGCGTACATCTGTTGAGGGGAAATTGGTGGATATAGAAGAAGATATTAGAGTCTGGTTTGCTATTAAGGAAAAGAAAAAGATTAAGGAAGTAGCCAAACCTATACGTTGCTGGTTTTACCTCCTGGAGATTGACGGGAGCGTTGTCAATGACATGCTGCCTCTTGTCCAGCCCTTTAAGTCACTGGGCATCTTGTGGAATCCAGGTGACAGGTTATTGATCTTTGTCTGGGAGAAGGTGCCTCGGCACTGCAGCTGGGTGCTCACAAGGAATGAACATTTCACTAAGGCACATTCAGTGAGTGATTTTGGATTTCCTGATTTTTGCCTGTTTCAGATTTTTTGAGAGACCATTCCTTTACTAGAGAGCTTATGCCTTCTAGTGGTAAATATGAAGTACAACATAATGTAAACTCTGTAGTGATGATGGTGCTTTTTGCCTGAATTATGAAAGTGATCTGTTGCAAGTATCTATACGCCAATCCTTAAATTTAAGTCTGATGGATATGGGGTTTCCTTGCCTGGTGAGCATAAATTTGCAACTGGAAATTTTCCCTCAAGCCTAGCTTGTTACAGTGGTCTCAAATTTTGATGTGCAAAAGAATCACTAGAGAAGTTTGATTAAAACTCAAGTTCCCAGCCTCAGCTCCAAAAGTCCTAGTTCAGCAGGCTTTGGAGAGGGCCCAGGAATTTGCCCATTTAAAATGAGCCTCCGGCGAGGTTGACCTGTGTGGCCTGTTCTTTGAGAAATGCTGGCCTAATGGCTAAGAGAACAGGGTTTGGAACAAAGCTCTATTCTCACCTTTGCAGTAGTATGACATTGGGTATATTCCTTAACCATTCACAGCCTCAGCTGCTCCATCTGTAAATAGGCAGTAAGAATACCAACTCCATAGGGCTGCTGTAGGGTAAAACGATATTCATGATATAAAGGCTTTGTACAGGATTTGGTCATGATGGGTGCCAGCACATGCCAGCTCTTATTATCTGTAGTATTAATTCTAATTAGCTGAAGCTACAAGGCCAGAGAAGACCAGGTGAAGCTTGGATTTTTCTAGGCCAAATAGGCATTAAATCTTGGACCCTAAGATCTCTGTAGTGAGATCCTCCCATGGACAAAAACCCCTCACACCCAAGGACAGCCAGTGGCTGCTGACCCCACTCAGATGCTTACACACAGGAGGGCCAGCAGCTCCCAGCTGGGGAGCTGTCAAGGATGCCAAATAGCCTGGGTTGAAAGGTGCTTTGAGACTAAGACCCTTAAGGGCAGGGAAGGTGTTTTTATACATCTTTGTACCTCCCAGGTCAAATGGGGAAAAGAGAACTTGAAGTTCACAGTTCCTCTATATAATGGTATTAAGGGAACAACTTCTGTTTCTTCGTCTATAAAACAGGCATGATAATAATATTTTCCCGACATAGCCCTGAAGAGCAAGTGAGTGAGGTTATATGTAAAAACCTTAGTATGATTGACACCAGTGGTCCTTGGAGAAAGTGTTATCTGTCTCATCCTTTCTGATGTGAATATATCTGTAGTTTCCTTTTCAGAGACAGATATTGATTAGGAGAAGGGGAACAAACGACCCAGATGTGTAGTAAGATTTTAGAGCAGTGTTTCTTAATGTTTTTTTTTGTAAGTCTGTTTCCCCTGATAAAAGTCATACATACCTTCTGTTAATGTATGTTTATTAAGCTTAATATGTTATATATTGGGTTGTAGGAAAAGCCATGACGTATTTTTTCTGTTTTTCGTTGCAAAAATGCATCATGACTTTTCTGACAACCCAATATATATGCAATATATATGTATGCATAATATATGTATGTGTGTACACACACACAAACACACACACGTATCCACACACCCATTAGGCTACCAGTACTGATGTAAGAGAATAAAGTAACATAATAACTCAGGAAGTGGTGAAACTGTGGATTATCCTGTTAATATACTTTAATCCATGTTTATATTTATCTCCTGTGTATTTTTGAATTCTTTCCACTGACAATATTTAGTTGGAGTTTCCCATGTTAATGTGATTCTACCCTTTCCCGGGAGCCATACATGTCTTCGGCATGTCATGTCCTCAGCTTCACCACCAGAGAGAGCCATTCTGTAACAGATGAGGTCAACTTAATGGAAACACGTGACAGCTGGGTGTCGATCAGAGACCAAGTCTACAGGTTACAGGTAATATATTTCAGATTTATTAAAAAACACATAGGCAACGAGTCAGAGCTTTGGCTAGGAATGATTTGGAAAAGAACTGAAGGCATCCACAAAACATTCACAGTTGTGTGCTAGAGGCAGAGAGCAGGGAAGTGTTCTAGAAGCATTTGCGGTGGACAATGGATGGCCCCGCTTCGTCGTACTCCTGTTTGCTGATCCACATCTGCTGGAAGGTAGACAGAGAGGCCAGGATGGAGCCGCCGATCCAGACAGAGTATTTGCGCTCTGGAGGGGCGATAATCTGTTGGTCAGGATGAGAAAGAAGGGCCATTAGTGCACTAGGGCAGGGCCTGGATGTCCTACCATGGTCCAGATTTGGTGGAGCTGGCTGGGATTTCAGGGACATCAGGGATCGTCTGGGCTGTTAGATGCCAAACCTTAACTCTAACCTTAACCCTAATCTAAAGGATTGGGAATAGAGTCTAGATTTAGAGATTCTTTAAGGAGTACATTTGTTTTTTGGGCTTCCTTTACACAACCTGTTCCAAAACACCCGTGACGTCTGCACTGCAGTCAGTCTACTGTTGGGCAAACTGAAAAGTTGCCGCCGAGTCCTGCATGGCCTTTCCCTCAGAGCCCTGACGATGTCTCTGATTTCCATAAGCTGGACCTCAGAACTTAACACAAACATACTTTCTATACAAACAACCACCAGCATCTTCAATGAGAAGTTTTGATTGGGCCAGAACTTACTATACAGATTTCTTCCACCTGGTTAAGTCTACTGAGATGCACTGTTTAACACTGAGGGGCTCAGGGTCCCTTGTTGGGACGACCATGTCCCTGGGGTAGGTCCCAGTTAGCCGCCCTGGCTGGCCTTCCCCACTGCACAGGCCTGACATGTGAGGGCATGCTACTGCTTCTTAGGTAAATGAATGATTTAGACACAGAGAGCAGTGAATTAGGCCAGAGGTCTCATCTACCTGCAGCAACCCCCAAAATAGTCACAGCTGAGCAATTTCAAATTCCCCTCCAGACTTGGACGTTTGGGTGGAAATGAATATGGACATTTTGACCAACAGACAAGGTGTTTCTGAGACATCTTGGTGAAAGGGCTTAATTTCTGTTTATCCCTCAAGTTCTGGTTGAATATTTATTTTATTTATTTATTTATTAAAAAAAATTTTTTTAAAGATTTTTTTTCAAATTGGAGAATTGGGGGACGGGAACAGCGCTGGGGAATTGGGGGAAGGGGAGCAGACAAGTTGCTGTCCTTTTGTTCTTCAGTCTAGTGGAGGACGTTGCTTCAGTGGCCCAAGTTGGCACCATCACCGCGCTCTTCCCAGGTGAGGCAGATCAGTCGCCAGCTTCTGTACGGCCGCTCACTGCGGTTGCTGGCCGCTCATGCTGGCTGCTGGCTACACACGGTAGCCCATGGCAACCCACTGCCACAGGGGCTGCAGCCTACGGCGTCGCAGGCGACTCAAGGCAACCCAGCTCTAGGTTGAGCTGTTGTTCAGCATCTTAGCTGTAGAGGGCAGTGTCACTGGCCCTCATATGTGGGATCCGAACCGGGGCCCTCTGGCATCCCAAGCCAGCTCTTAACCAACGCGCCACTCGGCCGGCCCGAATATTTATTTTTAATACAAGTAGTTAACATTTATTGAGCACTCACTATGTGCCAGGCACTATGCTAAGCATTTGTACTGACGTGTATTATTTAATTCTCATAGCCACTTGGAAGAATAAGTATTGAATTCCTCCCAGATTGCATATGAGGCAACAGAGAGAGGTTACGTAACTGGCCAGCTCACACTTAACGTACGCGTCAGACCCAATATTCAAACCCAGAGCTCTCCCAGGTATTTTGTGGCGGTTGCTTAGTCTTGTTATGATTTAGAAGTGACCTGTTTATTTGGGGATAATTTTAGATTTACAGAAAAGTTGTAAAGACAATGCAGAGAGTTCCTGTAGATCCCTCATCCAATTTCAGTTTCGCCTAATGTCTTCTTACTGTCCCAGGTTTTTAATGGTTTTTCTCTTACCACACTGGAGCCCGAAGTTCCACATTCATTTCTAGTCAAGAAGACAATGTGAGCTACAGCCTGTCTCTATAAAATACCCGCAGCTTAGGTTGGCTTTGTTGGTGAGCCCAGCAGCTGGTTTCATCTTCCTCCCTTCAGTGTGGGAGGGGGAGGGGGTAAAAGCAGATCAGAGGGGTACTCAGGAAACACGAGTCCTCAGAAAAGGGTCTCCCCTCTCACCCTGCTGTCTTTTAGAGCCTATGATTCAGACAGACAGCATGCTGTAGCCTAACACTCTTTTACGTGACTTGCATACCCTCTCCAGAAAAAAAGAGAAGGGAGGGCAAATAATAGAGAACTTGCTCGCATACTTCCTTTATGTGTGTGAACTGCACCGGGACTGCCCCTTCTCCTGCTCCCTGTGACGGGGCAGGGGGCCCCAGCATGGCCTCCTGACTTCACAGTGATAATAGTGTTTGAGAAGCCACCAGCCACATGTAAGGTTGCCTCTAAAGAATGGTCTCCATTTAATCTCTGAGTTCCCTTGACTGGGACTCAAAACTCACACAATACAGGGGTCCTGGGTGGCTCAGGGACTGAGCTTGGTCCTCCTGGAGTCATTCTGTGCTTTTGAGCACCTGTATCGAAAGGTGTGCCAGCCAGAGAGCTGAAGCTAAAATTCTCATTCCAGGCCACTGAGCTGTGATCACATTTAGGAATGGGAGAAGAGCACACACTATTGAATCTACAGGGTTTAAACCTCATCAGAAATATGTTTGGCTCATCTGTAATTTTAAAAAATGTTTTACACACAAGATGCACTATTTTTATGATAAAGGAGAACATCAGAATATATATTTTAAAGAGCTGCAGGCACGTGGGAAGCTCTGTTGACCTCTATTGCAGCTGCTGAAAGTAGCCGATAGACAAGGATACTTACAGATTAGATTTTGTACAAAATGATTCAGCTTCTCTTATGAAGTGGATTAAGTTTTATCCTGTAAAGTCTGAAACTTGTGCACTTGTACACACTGCCTAACCTTACAACCCATGAGCATGCGTGACCAAGATAGGGCCTCCGAAGAGTCTTTCAAGTCTGGTGATAGGCTTGGCCCACCAGCAGCATAGCCATAGGGCCTGTCACTGAACTGTACCTTGATCTTCATGGTGCTGGGCGCTAGGGCCGTGATCTCCTTCTGCATGCGGTCGGCAATGCCAGGGTACATGGTGGTGCCCCCAGAGAGGACGTTGTTAGCATAGAGGTCCTTCCTGATGTCAATATCACACTTCATGATGCTGTTGTAGGTGGTTTCATGGATGCCAGCAGACTCCATCCCTAGAAGAGACACAGGCCGTGGCCCATGGGTGGTGAGTAAAACCCAGGTCAGATATGGGAGACCTATGTGAATAACTGGGAGATTGTACACTGAAGCAAAGTTTGGTAGGCAAAATACTCTAGAAACCACCCATCTCAGAGCCGAAAGGTCCTTGTACTTCCCCATGTCCTCCCACCTCTTGTCTAGTGAGGAAGGCCCACTGTAGCATCTTTAGGGCATGGGACGCAACAACATCACATCCCTGATTTTTAACAGACTCACTACTATATGGTTCAAATAAGGAGTAAAGCCTTCGGACTCCCTGCAGAAGGTCCCACGCTGAGCCAATGTCACAGCCCTTGCTCAGAACTCCCCCAAGTCTCTGGCTGCTGCCTTGTTCTCACCCTTCAAAGCTAAATGGTGCTGAATCATCAGAAAAGTGCTTCATCCTATTTGGACAAAGACTCATTTTTCTTCAATGTTAATAATACCTTTTTGTCTGAACTTGGGGAAGTAGAACTAAGACTCAAACCCAGATCACCTGTCCCAGAACCTGCACTCTAAACAACTATACTAACTATTTTCCCAAGGTCAGTGCTAATGTAGAAACAGACTCTTCTATTTTTCTCTTCCCCTACCATTTCCAAACTCTCAGCATTAGCACATGCATCCCATCCATCAGGTGACACCACTGTGTCCTAAGCACAAACAATATCGGACTCACCATATACCAAGAATGCTTCTGGCTTGACTACAACATAATAGTGTTTTCTTAAAACAAAAGCTTCTTTCCTGCCTTCTTAAGCCTTCTTTCGTATGTGACCCTCTTTCCCTTGCTGTGGTTTAGAAATGTGTTTGGTCTTGTGGCCCCATCACATGTCCCTACATGCAGAAGGGTGCCAGTGGGTAAGGGCTGGCTGGATAGAGGAGGATAGGGCAATGGCCCCTTCCCAGGACGTGATGCTGCTGCCTACCGATGAAGGATGGCTGGAACAGGGTCTCTGGGCAGCGGAAGCGTTCATTCCCAATGGTGATCACCTGCCCATCAGGCAGCTCATAGCTCTTCTCAAGGGAGGAGGAGGACGCGGCAGTGGCCATCTCATTTTCAAAGTCCAGAGCTACATAGCACAGTTTCTCCTTGATGTCCCGGACAATCTCACGCTCAGCTGTCGAGATACACACATTCAGGTTTTCACGGATGGTAAAAACCCACCTGCCCTGCTTCAGTCTCTCTCACAATACAGGTTCCTTCCAAAAAATAAGTTCAATATTCTGCAACCCAAATCCATGATGGTAGTTAAATTAGAGGTCCAGAAAGGAACCACTTCTGTTCCTAACAGAATGCCTCACATATAGTAGACCTTGAGTAATTATTGCCTGGAAAATGCATGACAGGGATAAAATGAGCTAGCTAGAGAAAGGCACAGAGCAGGAAATCCTTTTGTACATTTTCTTTTATAGGATTAAATAATCACTCTCTGTTATAATTGTTTTATAGCAGTTTTATATTGGATTTTCAGTTGACCTGGACGTCTTATGCTCAAGCAGCCCCTTTCAGGCCCCACAGTTTTCTAAAAGCTCCAGAGATCCATGTTGTCTGGCCCAGGTAGATTACAGTTCAAACCGTTGGCATATTCATTACCTTCCAGAGAGAGGCAGACCCTGGCTCATGACCAGTCCT